AGGAGGAGGAGGAGGATGTAATGAGGGGAGGGAGAGGAAGGGGGGGAGGATGAGGGTAAGGAGGAGGAGTATGAGGACCAGTGGGAGGCAGAGGTTCAGGAAGCTCCCGATGGGACAGTTGTAAGCGTTCTTTTTGCCCTTTGCCTTCCTTGCGCTGGGGGATTGTGTGATGTCCTCCATCTCAGATTGCAGTAGTTATTGCTTCCACTATCGTGAGCCGTTCGGCTGAAGAGTTTGTGGACCAGTTAGACCAGCGTGCCGTCGATTGTACGTTCTGGTGCGCCCTCATGGCGGGGTCGATGCAAGCTTCGCTGGACGGCGCGGAAGCAGCGTCTCAGAAACCACCGTTCATGGTGGCTTTTGTATGCCTCGGAGTGCAGTTTCTGTACTTGTGCAGCTATTCGGTTGTGCTCCCAATAAGTAGCAGACTCACGAAGCATATCTTTCACGAGGACGACGAGGCATCAGCAGAGGCTTCGGGACTCATGGTCAAGTTCTTATCAGGATTGCTGATTGGGGTGCAGCACGTTGCGTTCGGAGTTGCCATCTACCTGGCCAGATACAAGTTCTTGCACAGGGAACGTTGCATCATCACCGTCAGTATGATGGTTTCAATTGTGGGAAGTATCATGTTTGCAGTTGGAGCGACCCTGGATGCAGACAAAGAGTTCGCGTTTGCCGTGATCTTGGTTGCTCGCATGGTTCAAGGAGCAGGTGCTGGGGTTGACTACACAGCAAAATTTGTGATCACTACATTGTCCAGCAACGATATGCTCACCGTGTACAACTCCTATCCAAGACGTTTCGCGTTCGTCGCCTGCCCACTCTAGCTTGAAGTCGGGCATCCCTCTACAGGAGGAGTATTCAAAAATAGTCCAAAAACAGTGTTTTTGACTATTTTTGAGCTTTGGTTTGATTATTTTGGGATTTCGCCCCAAATCCGCCTGCAGGAGGACATGCCCGACCTAGATCTAGCTCTCGCCGAAGAGCCGAGGGCGGCCCCAAGCTGGGCCGACACACACGAGAGGGCCTAGGGGAGCCAAGTGCAGGACTCCGGAGAGAGCCCGCAGAGAGGCCAGGGCATCCCCAGACGGGCCCGAGAACGGCCTGAAGGGCCTCGGGTCCCGAAGGGGGCCCCGGAAGTCCTCAAGCACAGCCTCCAGCTGGTGAGCGCCTTTTTGTTCATTCCTTTCCCGATCGGCGCGGGCCCTCGCACCCCTCCCCTCCCCCCCCCCCCGTGGAGTAGATCTTGGCTGTTTTCGGCGCCTGTTTCGAGCAGGTGGAGTCTCCCCCAAAGGGCGCACGGTCCCAAACAGTCGCGCTGAGCAGAGGTCTGGAGCCAGACCCCCCCCCCTTCCGCCCAATGTCTAAACGCCAAATAAAAAACGTTCACCTGGGCAATCATTACACTGTCGCGCGTAAACAGCATTATAATATAGTAGCTGTAGCATTGTATTGTGCTGTGCGTGCGGAAGGGCATGCGACAGAAGATGCGTCAACTGCTACGAATACTAAAGGGATAGGGATAGGGATAGGGATATGGGACCAGGGGTATAGGGATCGGGACATAGTGTTAAGGTCAGGGATTGGAATGGGGATAGGGATATAGGATAAGGGTGCGAGGCATAAGGATAGGGATGGAGGGCTAGGGATATGATAGGGACAGGGATAGGGAGACAATCGGAGACAACGGGAGATAATGGTAAACGAGGACAGGCAACGAGAGAACGGGAGACAACGGGAGACAACAGGAGACAATGTGAGACAATGTGTGACAACTGGAGACAACGGGAGGCAGTCGGTGCCCGACCGATTCCAGATCCCAGTCCCTCAGTATCGTTTAACCGACCCCCATCCCCATCCCCATCCCCTTCGAGACCCTCACCAAATTACCACCCCAGTTGGGGGTACACCCCTCGAAACTCGAAGGGAACGGCCTATATCCCCACGAAGGGGGGTAAATCGGCCAGTGGGGCCCAGGCCACGCCGACGGGGATGGGGGTCTGATAAACGATGCTCAGTCCCCCCGCACGCCGCCTCGGAGAAGACATTGATAGGACTCGGGCGGGGCCAGGACGAGGATAAATTCGTTCCAGAGCGTTCCGGAACGCTCTCAGAGCCGAGACATCCTCCAGGGCCGCAGGATCTCAGAGATTCTCGATTTCTCCCCACCCGAATTTATCTTCGTCCTGGCTTCGTTTTAGATAGGACCCTGGCAGAGAGGCTGTCGAGGAACACGTGCCAAGAAGGGCTCCAGGCGGCCCCACGACGAACCCAGCACGAGCATCCTCCCTGGGCCCGACCGCCGTCGGAGCACATCGTGCAATCCGTGCGCGGCTCAGAGCCGTTGCGCGGCTCCCTGTTAGGGCCCGATTTTGACGCCGGAGTCGTCAGAACGGGCGCCCAAGACAGCATTGGCACGGGCACGCGTGCAGGTGCGGCAGACGATTCACAATCTGAGCACGCAGCTGTCCGAGTCGGGGTGTCTCCTGGGCCTCGTGATCGTTCTGGCTGTGGCCTTGACCCGCACGCGCTCCGGAGCAATTCGGGGCAACTCCTGGGCCATCTCGGGGCCACCTTGGGCACTCTTGGAGATTATTTGTGATGATCTTTTAGGGGTCACTTGAATTATGATGTTCCAACATCCTAGGGTCAAGGCTTATTTCGAGACGCGCCAGATTCCCGAGGCCACGGCTTCGCCCACCCGGTCTTGAGTAGGCCCGGACGCTGTCTGTAACGGTGGTCGCATCGTATCGCATCGCAGGGTCAAGGCTTAAGATATCCCAACCTAATTTAGCATTGACCACCAGAAAGCATTTCGAGCACCCAGAAAGTGCCGAAACTGGAGGGTTTTCACGTGCCGGGCCCTGGGAGGCGATATTCGTTCGACATTGTTTCGACACTTTTCTGGGTGCTCGACATCATGTCTGGGATATGGTCCTTCAGGACGATGGGAGCAGCATAGCTCTTGAAGCTTTTTTGGGGGCCCCTGAGTCCTTCTGGTCTTTTGTTGGAGCTCTCTCGAGCTTGCCTCTGGGTTCCACTCGTCCCCTCCAGCTCCCGAGTCGCCGGAACGCGTCCCCTCGCTGCCGGGGGCAGTCTGTCGTGCTGCCAGAGCTCCACTTCGGTGAGCGAGCCCCACGAGTCGGGGGATCGGGCAGCAAGAAGCGTACGCGCATGGTGTGGCGTCGCAGAGACAGCGTGCGGTGTGGCGCCGCTGGCCCGCCGACAGCACGCCATCCCCCCCCCACCCCGGGGATGGCGTGCGCGGAGGCAGCGACGTGGCACGCCACCCCCGAACCGATAATGCGCGCTGTCCCCCACGGACGGTCCGACAGAACAGGCTCAGCATGGAAACCTGCCATCGGATCCTCCGGTCTGCAGGACAGCAGATCTCTCGGAAATCGGTGCTGCACGCTACCTCTGCGACGCAAGCCGTGTACCGATCCTGGCCTGGCCGCCCCTCTGTGAGGGAGGCAGGAGGAGGGAGGAGGGAGGAGTGAGGAGTGAGGACGGAGGAGGAAGGAGAAGGAGGAGGAGGAGGAGGCGGAGTTACGGACTTACGGATATCGAGACTATGTCGGTTACTTTTACAGGCTATCGAGCCTCGCGTCTGGCCTTCTCGGCTTTGCTGTATGTCTTGGACCAGAGCCCCCCTCTGAATACTGCTGGTCATACTTGCGATTACCTGTGGCTCACGTGGCGGACATGCTTCACCGAGCTTGGCCGACTCTTGGGCCGCAAAGCTTCCACATGTCGCACAGAACCAGATCCCCAGCCCAGCGTGAAACCTTGAACGATGGTTTTGATGCTCAGCCCCCCCAAAGATGTGCATCTGGCGTCCTAGGGGAGCCTCAGACAACCTACCATCGATTGTCCTCAGGTCGAAGCATGGAGTGGCCAATGGTAGTGGAGCTCCTACAGTGCATGCAACAACGACCGCTTTCGGACAAGGTATGATGGGTGGTAAAAGATTTACACACCAAGGGCGCAGGAGGCCTGGATCCAGGGCGCCTGACACGGACTCCTTGGGTCTCCTCGGCAGCACGGATCTGCTCAGCTTTCAGGGTCTCTATATCGGGCTAAGGAGAATCCAGTCTGACGGCACGCGCCATCTTCCTCATTCGGGAACACTCTAGCTTTCACATTGGGGCGTCTTGAGGGCCTCTTAGGGGGATTCTTGGGCCTCTTGGGGGCCTCGTTGGCGCGGAGGTTGAAAAGTCGAGGACCCCCGAAAGCATTGACATACTTCTGGAACGCCAGTGATTTTTGCCCCTCGGACTCTTCGGGCTCTCTCAGGGCGCCTCGACGGTCTCTTGGGCTGTCTTGGGGCCACCTTGGGGGCGTCTGGGACCGATCGTGCGGCGACTCGGGGCCCTCTTGGACCGTCTTGGGGGCCTCTCGGGACCCCGCCTTGGCACGTCTTGTAGCCCTCTGGGGCCCGAGACAGCCATGCGGGCATGCGCGAGCCCCCCCCCCTGGGGCCACGCGACGGGCTCCTGGGGCCACGCGGCGCGAGATTTGACCCACTCCTCGATCCTCACCCATCCATCCTCGTCCTCGTCCTCGTCGTCGTCCTCCTCGTCGTCGTCGTCCTCCTCCTCCTCCTCTAGTTCCTCTAGTTCCTAAGAAGCGTGGTCTGCTTGGCTAACCACACCCACCTAGTTAAAGCAGGAACCGCCTCGAGGTCGAGAGCCTTGCCTCACACCTCGGGTCCCGACAAAAGTTAAAAAATGGCTCCATTGAAAACCACCTCAGTCCTCGGGGCCGACCGCCACAACAACAGAAACGGCGCCCACGGACTTCGGACCAGGGGCTGAAGCGCGAGCGAGCGGAAAAGGCAGGCCCCAGAAAACACTCGACTGAGGCCCCCGACCATCCAGGAGGCGCTCCAGGGTCGCCTTCCCCAGACGGACCGAGTCCCTGGGACGAGACGACCAAGGGCGACACGGCTTGGCCAGGAGGTGGGTCTGTTGTCGGGCGTATGCCCCGCACAACTTACAGAAGACGATCGCCACATCCCTGCCAAGGGCCTGACCGTCCCCACCCCGCGTTTTACGCTCACCCCGCATCACCCACAGCCTATGGGAAGGATGGGCGATCGACGCGGGCCTAGGCACTCCTGGACACGGGTGGCACACTCTCCGCGATCGGAGCCCGTTCCTGGCCCCACGCCTGCTGCAGCCCCAGGCCCGCCCACGACAACCCAAAACGTGCCAGCTAGGGTTCGAGACCAGGGAGGGCACCTGCGGCGGGCACGGAGGGGGGAGGGCGCTCCGATCGGGCCATCCCACGCCGGCGGCCTTTTCCAGCACCGCACCGTGGTGGCGCAGCAGCTGCGTCGCGGCGACGGTCGCCGAGCTCACGCGTCTGGCGAGCTCTTCGATCACCTCGAAGTCGGCGTGCAACTGGGCTCCCAACTTGGCTCTCTTGTCAGCCTCGCGGTTGCCGACGTGCCAGTGCGCCGACGCGCCCGCTCTCTCCGCCGCGGCTCACCTGGTGTGGGCTCTCGCCCAGTGGAGCTTGAAGCGCTCGCCCAAGTCGTGGGCCCGAAACCAGATCTCACTCAAGAGCTGCGCGTACTTGCACTCGGGGCTCTTGCTCCAGTCATGCCCTTTCTGAAAATCACCAACAACGTTCTTGCCGTCCGTCGACACACTGAGCTCGCCTTGAGCAGCGTCACGCAGCACGCGAGCCAGGGCGTAGAGCTCAGCAAAGCCGATCTCCTGCACCACCCCAGGAACTGTGCCCATCAGGCCGCCGACGACGCACCCATCACCCGTAATCGTGCTACCCGCCCAGCCTGTCCTCGTGAGTTCCACGAGCCGCGGGAAGTAGGCCGAGCCATCGATGCAGACCGTGCCCGAGAAGCCGTCGTGCCGAAGGACACCCGCTCGATGACTCTACTCGCCAGCTGCAGGGATAGGCGCCGTCTCTGGCCCGAACGGGACGAGGCACTTCGCGAAACCCATGTCCGTGAGGTCGGCCGCGGCGCCAGCGTTGCGCGCCGCCTCCAAGCCCATGTCCCGCGCCACCGTCGCCGTGCCCTCACAGCGAAAGAGCCTGTGGTGGTGAGAGCCCATGCCATAGCCGCGTCGCTGGCTGTAAGGCGAGGTGGCTGCTCGCTCCGCGCACAGGCCTGTCTGGGAGACCAGCCCGCCGAGCGCGAGGCTCTCGACCGGCGCGACCTGCTCCACGTCGCCCTGCGCCTGCAGCACGTCCAGCGCTGCCCGCGCTGGGTACGTCGTGGGTGGTCCTTCCAGTTGCCCGTGAACATACCTGTGCGCTCCTCTCTCGACCAGCGTTCTGATCAGCTTCGGGCTGTGGGACTTCAGGTCGAGCTGCTCGTCCCCGTCGGTGGCCCGCGCGTGCCGCGACTCCGCGGTCCAACCGATGCGGCCGAGGCGGAGGCGTGCGGCGCCAGCTGGCCCCGTGACCTGACCCCAGTGGGCAGGCCGCGCCGCCTCGAAGACCTTGCTCATGCTGGTCTCAGGCCTGAGCTAGGCGAACAGCCTTGTCCCGCGCCGCCAGCGGCAGGCAGTTCGCCGCGTTGGCGGGATCTTGGCGCCAGCCAGGCCCTGGCTGGATGGCGAACTGCAGCGTCGTACACTTCTTACCACGACCGCCTGCCACCGCCTTGCCACTGATGGCCCTGGCCTTGTCGAGCACCTTGAACGGCGCCCCTTTGACGCGGGCGCCGTGGAGGACGGTGGCGAGGCCGCTGCGCCTGAAGGACAGCCCCTAGCTTAGCCCCCGCTCGCCGCCTCAGCTGCATGCACCGCGACGCCGTCACCGGAAGACGCCCCAGTTTGCCTCGTAGCACTCCCCGCGAAGCTTTGCCATCGAGCATGAAGTCGATCCCCAGGTTCTTGGCCTGGCGGCGCAGCCTGAAGTCCGGCTTCCTGAGGCGGTGGGCCGTCCTCTTGCCCGCGTTCGCGTCGCTGGGCACGATCGCGCCCTTGGTGACCGAGATGATGAAGCCGTCTTCTTCCAGCCTTTGGCAGAGCCACCTGGTCGCGCCGAAGATGCTGGACCCCACGTTGCGCAGCCGACCGTAGATCGCCGGGGTGACGTCGTCCACGACCAGGCAGGCATGAACGTTCAGCCAGCTCTGCATGGGGAGGTCCATGGCCGAGAGGAGCATGACCTTCAGCAGGGTCGTCGCGAAGGCGCAGCCCGCGACGATCGAGGTCCCCGGCGAGAAGGCCTCGGCCACTCACTTGAGCCTGCGCCGCCCACCATGCGAGCGAAGGGTGAGCTGCAGGCGTCGCATTCGGAACCCGTGCCCCCGAGCTGCTGCGACTCGTCCATCATGGCGGACCCGCTCGTAGGCCTGGGACAGGTCTGGCATCGACGTCATCGAGTGCTGCTCCATCGCCGCAGCCATGTCAGCGTCGAGCGCCTGGAGCTAGACCGCGTCCTCGCGCGACTTGCCCTCGCCGCCGAAGAAGAAGTCCCATGGGGTGCTGCCTCTCCCAGTCCAGGGCCTCGCCTTGGCGT